AGAGAGAGAGAGAGAGAGAGAGAGAGAGGGGGGAGAGAGAAAGGGAGAGGGAAGGAGAGAGTAAGAGAGATTGAAAAACGAAAATAGAAAAGCAGAGGAAGGGACCAAGGAAACATCAGAGTTCTCCAAGGGCACTTATAGCCTGGCGAGGCCTGGCCGCCCGCCAGGCTATCATCGAGCCCCGCAATCCTAAAATGCACCCACCATGCACCCACCATGCTAGTGTATACACGAGAAGTTCAAACAATTAATTAATACACGTTGGTCTCGATGCTACGGGTACGGCAGTCCCACACACAAGTACAAACAGTCACCCTATTCCTATCCCTATCCCATATTACCCCCTATACATATATCCCCTATACCAAAATTAATCTATGGTGTATATAATAACCTTTTGCTTTAAATATTTTGCATCTGAACTGACAATCAATCGCAACCAACTGGTGTAGGCTAGCTGGCACAATAATGTTCATTTTCATACTTCAAATCCGAGTGTTTTCAGGCTCATCAAGAAATCTTAATCGTGAATTAAATCGTGAATTTATTTCCAACGGCATTATTACGGGGCAGGTAACCCAGTCTAACACGAGGTAGAGTAGACTGGTACACTTACTGACCACTCCTGCTATTGGCAATGGTGACAAAATTTTTTTTATTTATTTATGAGAGGTGAACTCGATTTGGAACCAGCAAACCAGCAAGTTCACCCCCACATTTTGGTATTTTTATTCCATTAATTATTTTTAATTTTCCGATGGCTTTGCCCATGCAAAACAAACATTTTCACCCCACATGCAGTGCTTCAAATTTACACACAGTGTCCCAGATTGCATCTCAGAGCTTCTACAATTCAAAAAATTTCCAGGAGTACCACCCCCATGCTATAATTTAAAAGCTTGGAGAACCCTGAACATGAGTGTAAAGAGGAAGATATACATATATATATGGAGAGAGAGAGAGAGAGAGAGAGAGAGAGAGAGAGAGAGAGAGAGAGAGAGAGAGAAAGAAAGAGAGACAATGAGAGAGACAGAGAGAGAACGAGATAGAAAAACGCGCATTTAGACATGGTAAGACTACAGAGGACCACAAACTGTAACGCAGGCAACGTAAAGACGGTTTATATGCAGGGAGGCTACTCAGGCTACTACCCTGTTCACGAACTCCCCGGCTTTTCTAGTTCGACTGTCGTGCATCGTGGTACCGGTTTGCAGGGTTGTTTTGTTCGCCGCGTGAGGTGCTGGGGTGGCAGGGATGTGCGGGAGGGGAGGGATGGGTGTGTGGGGGAGAGATGGGTGGGAGGGTGAGAGATGGGCAGGAGGGGAGGGTGAGAGATGGGCAGGAGGGGA